TTATGCTTTTGAGATTCATCCATATTGATAATTATAGCTATGGTTTATTCATTTCACTGCTGCATAGTATCTCGTATGAACTTAGCACATTTTATTTAAACATCCTACTGCTAAAAGACGTTTGGGTAGTTTCCAGTTTGGAGCCATTAGAAGTAAAAAGACTATCAACATTCCAATCTATGTCTCTAATACACGTGCAGGATTTTCTCTAGGGGTATGGATTTAACAGTGAAATTCCTGGGCCTTAGGTAATACCCACCTTGAACTTTATTACATCAAACTGGTTTCCAAAACTGTTGTACTATTGACATTTCCATCAACTCCACATTCCTCACCAACACTTGTTCTCACTGCAGCTTTAACTTATACTTCACTGACTTCTAATAAAGTTGAGCATCTTTTCACATATCTTTTAGACATCTGTTTCCTCTTCTACAAGATGAGTATTCATTTTACCAATTTTTAATGGGTAATCTTATTTTTGATTCATTGGAGTCCTTTATTTATCCTGGGTGCTACCAATCATTTGTTGGTTATTTGTGTTGCAATCATATTCTCCCACTTTAAGGCTTATCCTTTCAACTTTGATGAACAAAGATTCTCCATTTTTTTTTTTATTTATTATATTTTTACTTTTGGTTGCCTTGGGTCTTTGTTGCGGTGTGCGGGCTTCTCATTGTGGTGGCTTCTCTTGTTGTGGCGCATGGGTTTAGGTGGTCCACGGCATGTGGGATCTTCCCAGATCAGGGCTCAAACCCATGTCCCCTGCATTGGCAGGCAGATTCTTAACCACTGTGCCAACAGGGAAGTCCAATTCTCCATTTTAATGGAGCAAATGTATTAATTTTTGCTTAGGGTTTATACTTTCAGTGTATTAAGAAATCTTTTCCCACCGTGAGGTGGTGAAGATATTGCCCAATTTTTTTCCCTAAAAGTGTTTTAAGTTTTTTCCTTTCATATTGATATTTTTAATCCATTTGGAATTGGGATTCAATATCATGTGTTTCTATTCAGATAACCAATTGTTCCCATTTTTTAAAAAGTTCTTCCTTTCCCCACTGACGAGCAGTGCCAATTCTGTGAATTATCAAGTTTCTGTATACGTGTGGATCTGTTTCTAGATTCTCTATTCTGTTTCACTAGTCTATTTGTCCATCTCTGTTCTTAGACCCACATTGTCTTAATCACTCTAGCTTTATAATAAGACTTGAAATCTGGTAGAGCAAGTCCACCCACCTTGTTTCTCTTCTGGCTATTCTTGGCTATTTGCTCTTTCATACAAATTTTAGAATTACTTTTATCAAATTCTACTAAAAAAAATCCTGTTGAAATTTTCATTGGAATTGCATTAAATTTACATATCAATAGGGGAAATTGATATGTAAATAATATCAAGTCAATCTAGCCAGGAGCATGGTACTTTTCTCCCATTTATTTAGCTCTACTTTGGCTTTCCATAAACTTTTTAAATTTTCTTCATGAAGTTTAGCCTCTCTTTTGTTATACACATATATACACATATTTTGCTGTCAGTTTTATTCTAACTGGTATCATGTTTTAGGATGACTTTTCTGTTTGTTATTAGAAAGAAAAGCAGTTGACTTTAGAAGCCTACATTCAATGAACTTACTAAACTTCCTAACTTTTATAATTTATTTGTAGACTCCAGTTTTCTATGTAGATAATTATATTTTGATTTTTCCTTTCCTACCTTTATACCTTTCGCTTCTTGTCTTGTTCCACTGGTTACGATTTACAGTACAATTGAATAGAAGCTATGAGAGCAGATATCCCTCCTCTCGCTTCTAGTTTAAAGGAAATGTTTTTGGGTTTTGTTTGTTTGTTTGTTTTTGTTTTTTTTGCGGTATGCGGGCCTCTCATTGCTGTGGTGGCCTCTCCCGTTGCAGAGCACAGGCTCCGGACATGCAGGCTCAGCGGCCATGGCTCACGGACCCAGCTGCTCCACGGCATGTGGGATCTTCCCAGACCAGGGCACGAACCCGTGTCCCCTGCATCGACAGGCGGACTCTCAACCACTGTGCCACCAGGGAAGCCCCGGAAATGTTTATTTTAAATTTGACTTGTTGCTGTGATGTTAACTATAGGTTTTCTGTAGGTACTCTTTATCAGGTTAAGGAAGTTTTCTTCTATTACTAGTTTACTATGTGCTCCTTATCATGATTAGAAGTTGAATTTAACTGAAGCTATTCTGCATCTATTGCTAAGAACATGGATCTCTTCTAATATGTAAACGCAGAAAATTGTATATATATATTTGTCTAATACTGATGCTGCATTCCTAGAATAAGGCCATTGAACCCAGAACTTTTTACCTGGAGAGTCAGAAGAGGTTAAATGATATCAGAGTAGAAACTCTGCTTAAAACTGACTAAGCGGTACAAGGCTAGCCCTACTTGTTCACCTCAAGACCCTGTCTCCTCGAGGGCATTGTTGCTGACTCATCCACACCTGCTCTGAGCTCTTAGAGCATTTACTACGGATGATGCTCATCTGACACTTGCCATGTGCTATTCTGTACCTGCCCCGTCTCCCAACTAGAATACAAGTCCCACAGAGTAGCAACTAGAAAGCTTACAACAAATGCTTGCCTGAAAAGCTTAAACTTATTCTTGTGGATATGGTGGTAAAACATGAGTTGGATAATAACGCCGTATCCTTAGAAAATGAGACTCCTGGACATGAGTTTTCTAGAGAGCTGCACTTTAATCCACTAACACTCACTAAAACTTAAAAATCATTCTAAACTGTATTTCACACTTAACTGCTTTGTGAGTGTTCTGGCCATGCTTTATATATTTCTTGATTTTAAGCATAAGCTAACTTTTTTGTTGTTGAGTACAGTTAATCATTAGGAATATCAGTTATAATAATGCTAAAGATACAGCTGTGGACACATACTGTGTGGAATGCAGAACCTCAGCTATGGCCCTGAATGAGTCTTTAACAGGGAAGGAAAAGAAAAAAAAAAAAGCTGGCATTTTCCCCCTTTGGCATTGACCTCTAGTTAACTCTCAGCAGCCAATTCACATTTCCTCCTCCACTCTCCTACTCTCTCCACCCTCTCTTACCCCAGAATTACACAATGCAGAACTCTAGGATACATTTCTAGCAGTGATACTGTGAAAAGTTACCATTTCTCCAGATTACAACAACCTTCCAGCTTGTTTTTCCACTGTGGACTCTCTTCTCTGTACCTACTACTGGCTGACCTCATCACCGCCCCTAATCTCTAGGGAGAACAAATATGGTGTAGCTAACAGCACAGACTCTGGGACCAGGCTGCCTGGATTCAAACTCCAGTTCAACATTTACAGGTGAAAATCCCACTACAAGTCACTTAACCTCATTATTCCTAGTTTCCTCATTCATATAATGAGAATAAACATATCTCTACCTCACAAGATTGTTATGAGAATTAAATGAATATGTATAAAGTGCTTAGAACACGGCCTAGCGCATAGTAAGCATTATATCTGGATTGTTAAAAAAAAGAAAAATGGATAAAATACCACTCTCTTAACTCTCTCTCTTAAAACTACTCCAGTATTTTTCATTTTGTGTTGTGGTTGTGTTGGTGGTGGTAGTGGTATTCTTTTGTGGGAGGGGCAGTGCAGACATCACTAACTAATCCTCAACTCATCCCACCTGTCAGTGCTTCTTTCAGACCTGGAAGGGAAGGAGGATGGGGAGTGTCAAGGTTATTCATTCACTGTTCTGTTAGCCAGGCTAAAATGAGCACAGGTGAAGAAAATGGGGCTGTTTATTTAATCAGCATAACAGGAATCTAGGGACATGTACCACTGCTGTTTTCAAATATCTGCAGGGCTGGGATGGAGAACAGATAGCATTGGAAATTCTATGCAATAGCTACAGGCTCCCCATCACTGAGCATGTTTAAGCAGGGGACTGGTGACCAGGTGTGAAGGATGCTGTAAGAATTTTTAAATTTAGCATCAGATAACCTTTAAGATTCCTTCTACCTGTAAAATCTTGGCAATGCTAACGTGAAGCATCAAGATGTTAACAGTCTTGCTGTGAGTCACACATCCAACGAGCTCCTGAAGGCACAGAATTCTTCACTTCCCACAGTGCTTAGCACATCACAACAGATCTAGGTGAGGAATTCCAGCCCGGAGGCTGCGTAAACTCGGCTCACAGTAACAAAAACTTCTCTAAAGCTACGCGCATCAATTAGCTGATTCCAGACTTCTGTTGGGACCAATAAATTCAATAAAGCATACATTCCCAAATGGGATTTGGCAAAAAGATGTGTACCCGAATTAACTATCAGACGGTCCTTCACTTCACCCTTCCGAGGCCGGACAAAAGCCAGCTGAAGTGAGCAGACAGGTTAAGGTGAAGGGGCCGGGTGGCCCGGGGTGAACGGGCGACTGGCGAGCCGACTCACACTCCGGGGAAAGGGACAAAGGCCTAGGGGAAAGGAGAGCACGCTGGACTTGGAGGCCGGCAGCAACGCCCCAGCCAGACTGGCCACGGTCCGGGTTTGGACTGGAGGTGCAAAGGTGTGCGGGCAGTGGGTTAAAGAGCGGCAGCGAGGAGGGCCCCTAAGCTCCAACGTAGCCCCCGCGGGGGTCCCCTCTGCCCCCGGGGAGCTGGCCTCGGGGAGCCGGGGGCCACCGGTGCTGCAGCCCCGAGGAGGATCCTGTGGGGAGGCAGGGCGGCGCACCTGTGGCCGGCACTCAGGTCCTCACGGGGCTCCCCGCCCCGCAGCCTCCGCTGCTGCTCAGCCCACTTGGCCCCGCAGCCGGATTTCGGATGGTCCCTACTCCCGCCGCCTCAACCAAGGCCAGTCCTCAAGCCCCAGACAAGCGGTCCGACACTGACGCCGGAGTCCTGGCGCGGAATGTGGGGCAGCGGCTGCCTCCCGCCCGGCCCGGCCCCTGCCGCGAGAGCGACCGCCGCCATCGCGGGCCGCGGCCGGAGGGAGACGCAGGGGCCGCGCGCGCGCGCCGCTTTACCTGAGAAACCAGCGGGAGCAGCGTCTGCTCCACTGAGCGAGTTTTGATCTCGAGTCCGGAGTCGAAGGCGAGGCCAAACGGGCCGGAGCCGTGCACTGCCCCGGCGGCGGCACCGCCGGCCGGGCCCGGAGAGGCGGCCATGGCCCTCAGCCCGTCGCGGAGCCCGGACGCCGTGCCGCTGCGGACCCGCCACCCGCCAGCCTGCTTGCACTCCGCAGCTGCGATGCACCCGCGCCGCCCGAGGCACCACCCCGCCGGGCCCGCCCCCAGCACGGGCCCGCCCACTCTCCGCCTCCAAGCGCCCCAGTCTGGAGTCCGCCCTGCAGCCCCACCCCCTAACCCTGGCCCCGCCCCTTCTGTCCTCTGTCCCCAATCCCCATCCTGTCTCTCTCAGATCATTCCTTAGTGGGTTCCGCACACGTCTCGCCCCCTCTAGAACAGAGAAACAAGATACCTGAGGGCGTTCCACGGCCACGTGGCCTCTTACCAGGGCAAAGACATCCATGCCCAGCGAAGCTTCCCATGATCCCCAGAAGTGGCTCGTCCTAACTCCGAATTCCCCGCGATTACTGGAAGCTGCGCTGGAATTGAAACTAACTGGTAGACCGGGACCAGAGTCAAGCCTATAGGGAAGGGCTTTTACCATAAGACGGGAATTCTACAGGTTATAGTCTTTCTGGAGCTTCTCGAGAAGGTCCCATTTCCCCCTTCCACCCTGCTCTTTTCCTAACTGTATCTTTCTCACAATTTCAGCTGGACTGAAGATGAAACTTTTGATAATGCAATCATTTAAGGAGTATCTGGGTACCCGGCAAGAAAACACTGATTTGGGTATCTTCAGGCTACTGTTCAGAATTACTCTTCAAAAGGAAATTAAATAGAACATATGGAAAAACTTCACCTCTGCTCAACACTATTACTTTTTAAAACTACTTTTGCCCTCATGCCTAGCGCAGAGCAGTTTCTCAACAGCTGTTCAGTAACTGAAGATCATTAGTGTGTAACTCTGACTAAACTCACTTAAGGGTAAGGCTAAGAATCAAGGAGCCCCTGTGTGATGGAGATGGGAGAACTGGACACCTGTGACCCTAAAGTTTCCAGAAGCAAACCCAGGGGAGGCTGACAGAAGCACACACCCTGTGAAAGGGTCCTAGGCTTACGCAACAGACTGAGAAGCATGAAGAAATATTTTGTGAACTAGCATATTTGCCAATAAGAAACTATCAAGAGTAGAAAACAATCTGAATCTGAGGCTGGCTAGCCCACCCCTTACACCTTTGCCAGGATCATTTCCTCCATCTATAACGTCAGATTGATGAGCTGAATACCACACCAGCTCGAGGTGTCAGAAAGCTCTTTCCCAAGCACTGTTGAGACGTGTTTTAAAATACCTCCACTTGGGGTTCAGCTCCATCTGCTACTGCTGCATAGATTATCTTTGCTATTGAAGATAGCCATACCTTAGGTTTGTTTTCTTCATGCAAAACATGTGGTTCTTTCATCCAACTTTCTTTTCATTTTTGTTTTTTTGTTGTTGTTGTTGTTGTTTTGAGGTACACGGGCCTCTCACTGCTGTGGCCTCTCCCGTTTGCAGAGCACAGGCTCCGGACGCGCGGGCTCAGCGGCCATGGCTCACGGGCCCAGCTGCTCCGCGGCATGTGGGATCTTCCCGGACTGGGACACAAACCCGCGTGCCCTGCATCGGCAGGCGTACTCTCAACCACTGCGCCACCAGGGAAGCCCCCTAAAGAGGTGTGGGGTTTTTTTTTTGTTGTTTTTTTGCGGTACGCGGGCCTCTCACTGTTGTGGCCTCCCCCGTTTGCAGAGCACAGGCTCCGGACGCGCAGGCTCAGCGGCCATGGCTCACGGGCCCAGCCACTCCGCGGCATGTGGGATCTTCGCGGACCCGGGCACGAACCCGTATCCCCTGCATAGGCAGGCGGACTCTCAACCACTGCGCTAGCAGGGAAGCCCTCAACTTTCTTTTCATTTGAGTCTCACTCCCCAGCCACCCACCTCATCACTTCCTTATCTACCACAAAGCCACCTTCCCCTGGGCTCTGAGGGTCCCAGCCTTAGCCTTGGACCCTTTCACCTCTTTAAGGTGCTCAGCACCCACTCCACAGGTACATCTTCCCTTATGTAAGTTGCCCATATTTCATAAAAATTCAGTGTCGGCATTGGTGTCAAAGAAAAGGCAAGATATAAGGCCTAAGAGATGGATGTATTCGTGAAAGTTTGACTTCACTGAAGACCAAATTTCTCCACAGAAATGAAACTAAGTTTACCACCTGATTCATTCAACACAGTAATTTTATTTCAAAATATAAATATTTTACATTTACAAAGATGTTACATCAGTCGGTTGTCAAAGCAAGTTAAAGCTAAGAAACAGTTTGTGAGAATAAAGATGTATTGTTGTATTTGAATAATCTTTTTTTTACCTTCAAACCATTTCTACTTTGCCTGAGAATGCAAAGATGATACATTTTCCAGAAGTTACATAAGCAATTAAAACTATATATCCAATCTTGGTTTCAAAATCAATGGTATTTGAAATACACTCCAATCACCTAGACAAGTGGCACTGCAAAGCACAAAGAAGGGTTTTCTTTGGGATAACTACAATTGGAGTTACACTTTCTGGGTCACTGCCATAAAAAATAGTATTTGATAAGAAGCCAAAATGATGTTTAAGATCTGCTTCCATACCTTTCATAGTAAAATATGAAGCTAGAAGAAAAAGTAAGAAACCAGGTGTGGAGTAAAGAATTCTGGACTTGGAGTCAGAAGCTCTGCAACTGAATTCTGGCTCCATCATTTTGTGGTATAAACTTAAGGGGAAAATCACAAAAACCTTTCTGAGCCTCCAGTGCCTCATCTGATAATACTTACACCTGCCTGTCTCACAGGGTTGTTATGAAAGCATTCTGAAAACTATAAAGTGCGACACAAAAAAGCATTATTAAAATGTAATATCAATATATCACCACTGTATTTGCACAATAATTGATCTTTGAAAAACTTTCAAAACCAAAACACAAATACTGATTCTACACACCACAGGTAGAAAAGAATCTCTGTACTTGATGTATAGCTCTGAATGGCAAATACGTTTTCTTTCTGGCATCTCACTAAACTTTGAGATATATTACGGTTTACATGGTGGATGTACCATTCAGAATTCCATTAGGGATGTCTTCTAAAAGACCTGTAAACTTTTGAGAGTCATGTTTCCCAAAGGACACGGAGTCCTTTGAGCTGCTCTGAGAAAAGGAGGATGGGGCGCAGTTTAAGGTCAAATAAGTCTCGTAAACACAGTCTTTGTCCCCTTATAAATTCACAATATATAAGAGCACATTAAAAACTCTTCGAAGTCCTACAGAAAGGAAACAAACTCAGCATTCCTCAATTTTAACTGAGCTTGGAGTCCCCACCCCCCCCACCCCACATACACTTTTGTTCTCTTGTAACATCTAATAACATCCCTTGCAACTACTGCTATAAGGAACACATTTTTCCAAAAGCTACTCAACTACAAGAGGAAGGGAAGAGAAGTAGAACAATGGGCTGGGAGAAAAGAACTTACTCTGCTCTGAATTGTTACTGACTGGTCAGAAAAGACACTTTAACCTGTGGATTTGTTTCCTTCTCTAGAAAATGACAGGATCACCTAATTAGATAAGGCTCATCTGGCGTAGAATTCCTATGACTCCAGGATGCAGGCAGAACATCTTGATTTGTAATTCTCTTGATTATTTTTGAACTACCAAAAAAATTAACTGTTCAGTGGTTTCACATAGCATTCATATTTTTTGCAGATCCTCAATAAGTTAATGAAATGAATATATTTTAATGGCAAAATGGGTAAAGACAAGAAATACATAAAAAACAAAGAAATACTTGTTCTTGGCGGGAACTAGCATTTGGAAGTATGTTGCCAGAGGCTATAGTTCAACTGCGAAATGCCTAGTCTAATACTTTTGTAAGGATCTTGGAAGACACTTAGAGGAGACTGTAGGGGTTTTCCTATAAACCTTGAGGTTGAAAGCTCTGGATAACTCACCTAAAATTACTTTGCTCTAATCTAACCCCTCATAGCCTGAATTTCTGAGCATTTCTTGCTCAATAGTGACACAGCCTGAAGCTCTAAATACAACCAAAGTGGGAACTAGGGGTACTAGCAAGTCCTGATGGGTCACAATGGGTTCTTGTTAAGACCAAGGCTAGCCAGAGGACCTCATGTGCAAGCCCTTTAATGGAATAAACGGCTATTTCCAAAGCTACTTAGTTTGTTTAAATAACACTTCTTGGGTATCAAGAGTCAATTTGCACCAGTCTCAGAAGTCAAGGGAAAACTCTGCCAGCTAACCACCTCTAATGGAAATGCGTGTTAAGAATCCTTGCAAACTTAAGAATAAATAAAATTGGTATCTAAGGCAGTCTGGCAGAGATCACTTCCAGAAACAGAGAGTGTGATAGGAATTTTGGAACTGAAGCTGGACTTACATGACATGGAGTTTATCTGAAAATCCCGTGCGTCGTTCTCAGAAAAGAGAGGAACATACTGTGTGGGGAGATCTTATCCCCTCCATTCAGTTTATAATTGAGTAGTGAATGTGACCTTCAAACTCATCTTTAATAAAGCTACAAAATGCAGGACATTGTGACAGGATTTCTGTACTATGTTTTTGCTGAAGCTACTTCTACTTCATCAATGCATTATCTGTTCCTAAGGAAGCTTCTTTCTGGGTCAAATCCTGAGAATCACCTCTGAGACTCGAGCTTGAAACTCCTACTTTTTCATATCATTTGATCTCAATGCCTTATGAAGATCTGTAAAACCTCCTCACTGTATCTGAGGGGGCATGTTCTCTCTGTTTCTGAGGGTTCCAGGAACACCTCCCCCAGCTGCAGGGACTTCAAGTCCTTAGGCTGTTGCTGGAGTACTGGGGCAGTTCAAGTTTCCTGACAGGACTGGGGAGTGCTCTGGGGCACCTCTGCTCCTGATACTTCAGGGTGATACTACATCACTGCTAATTTTGGCAGCTCTAAACTATTCTCTTAGGGCTCAGAGTCCCCCTCTAAGGACCTGGTATTCACACTACCAGCAAGAGCCATATATTACCTCAAATTTATATTTTTGCAATATCACTTTACAGAGCTAAAAGCACTTTGGAAGAACATAATTTGTATATGCACACTAACTTACTGTGCATAGTGTTTGCCTCTCATAAATACGTGCTA